TCTAACACAATAACCAACTGGCTTGTGTCAAATGAACCCTCCCTGTCGGACCATCAAGCAATAAGGTTCGACCTAGAGCAGCGGTTCCCAACCGGTGGGTCGCGACCCCTAAGGGGGTCGCATAGGGTTTTTGGAGGGGTCGCAATGCCAATATCAATATATATTTTTCTGCATTTGGCAACACGCCTTAGCCTCGGCCTCAAAAGACGCGCAGCGTTGCATTGACCTTATGGACGAAGTGCATAGCATAGGTTTTGAGTCACATGTTTTTCAACATAGGTACCTAACTATGCAAAATGGCTGAAGCATCAGAAACAGAAATTGTAGGGAATCCAAAAAGAGAAAATTGGTTATCACCTTCAATCCCTTGAGAATGAAATGGGCGTTATTTTCTCGATTTATCTGAACAAAAAGCTGCAGTAGTAAGGAACCCGTTCCAACCCTGGTCAGATGTTGCCGACGTTCCTGTTGAAGTACTGGATACATTTTTAGACCTGAGGAATGATTCCACAGCACCTGCCTATTTCAGGAAAAATTCTTGACTGAAATTTGGTGTGCGATGCATAGTTCATATCCTTATATCGTCCTGCATGTGCTTACTTTTCGGATACTAATACCATTTGCTTTACCTACTTTCGCGAAATTCGGTTTTCAACTCTTTTGCAAATTAGAACAAAGGCCAGAAATAGATATGGCGTTCAAGATGACATAAAATTGGCTTTAAGAAAAACTCAACCAAGAATTTCAAAACTTGTTACGGTGATCCAAGCTCAGTCATCACATTAACAAAATAAAAATTGACTTTTTGTATTTAGTTACAAAATATTAATATTTTTGTTAAAGATTTCTCGAATAAATGAAATTTTGTTTTTTATTTATTAATGGGTAGGGGAGTCGCGACCTCATGAGCAAATCTGTAAAAGGGTCGTGACTAAAAAAAGGTTGGGAACCACTGACCTAGAGGCAGTTATAAATCACTCAGTACAGACTAGAATCCCAAAACTCACCAACTGGGTATCCTTTGTGGAGGGTCTGTGCCTGAGTCTAGATGAACTCCCTTCTGACATAAATACAATAGAAGAGCTAGAGGCATCACCTGACAATCTAACAAATGCGATAAAAGATTCCTATGAGAACAGTTGTCCCGTAAAACAGAAGGCAGTCCACAGGGATGTGCCTTGGTGGAACGGGCAGCTGAGACGTCTGAAACAAGATGCCAGAAAACTGTTCAACAAGGCAAAAACTAACGGCAACTGGGCAGCCTATAGAACAACCCTAGACAAGTACAACCGTGAATTAAGAAAATCAAAAAGGAAATCATGGAGACAATTCTGCGAGGGGATTGACGAATTAGCCCCAGCTCGTCTCCAAAAAGTTCTTTCAAAAAACCACTCAAACGGAATTGGTCTGCTTAAAAAGCCAAACGGAGAACACTGTACCGACCATATAGAAAGTCTAGAGGTACTACTACAAACTCACTTTCCAGGTTCGGTAATCGTTGAAGCCCTGAACCAGGTCACTCCGCCTATCGAAGGGTCACAAAGCCCTAACGGCAGGAGCAAAAGGCTGGCTGGGAAAATCTTCACAATGAACAGAATAAAATGGGCGATCGATAGCTTCAGACCCTACAAATCTCCAGGCAAAGACGGGATTTTTCCCGCACAACTGCAAAAAGGCTACGAGTACTTAAAGGTACACCTACAAAAGCTCTTTAAGGCAAGCCTGCTCCTAGGGCACATACCGCTATCTTGGAGGGAAGCTAATGTGATATTCATACCAAAAACGGGTCGCCGACCCGAGGACGAACCAAAATCATATCGTCCCATTAGTCTAACCTCCTTTCTCCTTAAAACAATGGAGAAAGCAATCGACCAGTACATCAGAAGCGAAACTCTATTGAGAAGACCGCTCTACTCGAAGCAATTTGCCTATCAGCCAGGCAAATCCACAATAAGTGCTTTACACTGCCTGGTTAAAGACATTGAAAAGACAATCGAGTGCAAAGAGATCGCTCTCAGAGCTTTCATCGACATAGAGGGTGCCTTTGACAACACCTCACATCAATCAATCGCCAGAGCATTACAAGAATGGGATGTTGAAGTTCCAATTGTAAAATGGATAGAGTCGATGCTGAAGCACCGTCACGTTACGGCTGAAACGGAGCATCAGCTACCGCTACCACGGCCAGAGGGTGTCCTCAAGGGGGTGTTCTTTCTCCGCTACTATGGACACTGGTGGTAGACAAAATTCTTACCAGACTGAGTAGTGCTGGATACCAGGTCATAGGTTACGCAGATGACCTAGCCATTGTAGTCAAGGGCAAACATGAAGGTATAGTGACAAGCCGAATGCAAAGTGCCCTAAACATCGTTAAAAATTGGAGCGAAGGCGAAGGACTATCCCTAAACGCAAACAAAACAATCCTTGTCCCGTTCACAAGAAGAAGGAAGCTAAATTTGAAAGCCCCGACCCTTAACGGTACACAACTAACATTTTCCAACGAAGTGAAGTACTTAGGGGTCACCCTGAACCAAACCCTCACTTGGAACAAACAGTTAGAGAAAACATGCTCGCGAGCTACATCAGCCATTTGGTCATGCAGAAGACTTGTTGGCAAAACATGGGGGCTAAAGCCAAATATGGTATTCTGGATCTACCAAACCATAATAAAGCCCATGGTCACATACGCCTCATTGGTGTGGTGGCCCAAAACCCAACAAGTCACCGCTCAGATTAAGCTAAGAAAGGTGCAAAGGCTGATATGTCTAGGAATAACGGGAGCAATGTCAACTTGCCCCACCGCAGCCCTAGAGACGCTACTCAACATGCCTCCACTTCACCTATGTGTGAAAAAGGAGGCAATAACCAGCGCTCACAGGCTATTCCAAATAGACAAGTTCAAGCCTGGCGATCTGAGGGGACATCTGAAAATCGTTGATCTAATAACACTGGAGAATGCCAGCAAACCAAGTGACCACATGATGGTCAGATTGGACTTAGAGATCCCCTTCGCAGTGGTAATAAACGACCGCCAATCATGGGAGAATAAAGAACTACCACAAGCAGACAATGCATCTCTGTGGTACACAGATGGATCCAAGCTAATGGTAGGAGCTGGACTGGGCATCTCCGGCCCTAACTTCAAGCTCTCCAAGGCATTGGGTAAACATCTTACAATATTTCAAGCCGAACTGCTTGCCATAGATATATGTGCACAAGAGTGTCTTAACCAAAGCCTCAAAAGAAAACACATCTTCATACTATCGGACAGCCAAGCTGCCTTAAAAGCCTTGAGGGCTTTCAAATGCACGTCAAAACTAGTCTGGGAGTGTAAATACTAGCGACACAAAACCAGGTAACGCTGATGTGCCTGCCTGGTAATCGAGGCATAGAAGGAAACGAAGAGGCAGATGGCCTCGCAAAGGAAGGGGCCTCAACACCATACCATGGATCAGAGCCCTACTGTGGCTTAATGAAAAGCCACATCATGGAAGAACTCAACAAATGGGAGAAAGACCAACTGTCATCATATTGGAGGCACACACCGGGACTCAGACAGTCAAAAAGGTTTATTACCCTTTCAGCAAAAAGAGCTGAACAGCTCCTAAGTATGAGCAGACCAGACATCAGATTGGTGGTGGGACTGCTCACAGGACACTGCCCATTAAAATACCATTTAAGGTTAATGGGCAGAGCGGAAGACGATCTCTGCAGATTCTGCTCAGACGCAATAGAAACCGCAGAACACCTGCTCTGCGAATGTCCAGCCCAATTCTGCAAGAGGCTCAAATTCCTCGAGTGGGCAACACTGTCACCAGAAGAAGTGGGCCAACTGACACCCAGGAAAATAGCTTCCTTCGGCAGAAGTCTACGCTTCCTGGAGACAAATTAAGATGTAGAGTTACGCACAAAATATCTGCAAAGGTAGCAGTGCTGAGCGGCTGAAAAGCCGAAACGACTCCCCCGAAATCTACAATCTTCAAGGCTAGTGCAAAGTACCTCAATTCGGAAAAGCCTCTCTAGCTAAGTCATAATACAGACTGGTCTAAATAGTACGTCCCTCCGTCACGGATTCTGGGTTCACTGAAACTCATGTCACAAGCAGTAGGTACCTAACAACTTTTACTAAACAAAATGACTCTTGAACAAATTCACCTATCACTTATCGAAACGTATACAACAAATATCGAATTCAAACTATAACTATAAACTCAAACTTTTATATTATACTACGCGCAATTTTAAGTCAAAATCCCACTCCGGATCTATCTATAGAAAAACATGTTTATCGAATGCCCAGAAAACGACGCGCTGCCAGACGTAAACAACGATTTTCCCATAGAATCCTAGCCAGGTTGTCGATGCTTTCGATGCAGTTTCGTAGCAATATTGAAAAAGATGTTCGGGTTCTTCTTTGAGTCTATCTTCAAAACGATTGATTCAATACAATTGTTACTTATAACGATTTCCTCGAAAAATGCAAAGTAAAAAAATCCCATGGATAAAATTAGGAATGCCTGTTCAATCCTTCTTGGATGACCCTGTACACTGGAAGTAATTTTCAATATTTCAAAGTCAACCTTAAGATCTCAAGACTCACATTTCTCGAAAAAATTTAACGAGATTTTGTTGAAATTTTGAGGTGGGAAACTTGAAATTCAAGAGTCATCTATCCAGTCAAACCGAAATCAGTATACGTTCGATCTCACGGCCTACTATAATGAAATCAATACTAAGCAGCACGGTATTTGTATTTCTCATGCACGCATTAAGATGGCACTATATGTTTTACCAAAAGAGTATGATTTGAACCAATCATTTCCATAAAAAAAAACACAAATTCATTGATAGCTGATTATCTCATTAGATCATTGTTGTTTTGAGTAGTTTAAAAATAAATTATTTTTCCAGATTATTTATTCATAAGTAGGTACCTAAAGTATCCCATTGAGCTTGAAGGGTAGTGTACTTATATATAAATAAAAAATATATCATCTCTACAGTAATAGCAAATTTATCAAACACTTAAAATGTTTCAATTTATTTTTTCCGTTTCTATAATTTTAATATTCTTTAGTAAAACAACTTTGGGTGGTGATAACTGTTTAGTAACTGACTATGACCAAATTGAAACAGCTTTGCAAACATGTAAAAATATTGTTATTGATAGTATAATTGTGCCAGCGAAAAGAGAACTGACATTGAATATTCGAGATGGAACCAATTTGACTTTCAGAGGAAATATTTCATTCGAAAAAGAGTTTTGGAAAGGGCCTTTAGTACGAATATCAGGAAGTAATTTTTATATGCGAGGTGAAGAAGGTAAGAAGTTTTTCATAATCAATTTAACATCCAAGACCAAGTATAGTATGCATGAAACTGTCCATTTACTTTACGATTTTTAAGCGTCTTGAAGAATTCCATTACTATCATCAATGCGGAAAAACAAATAATATCATTTCATATTTTTCCTATAGGGTCTGTTTTCGATGGTAATGGACCTCTGTACTGGGACGGATTGGGCACCTGGGGCAAGACCAATAAACCCAAATTCATGAAAATAAACGTCCATAATGCCACAATGGAAAATATTAATTTGCGTAATTGTCCTGTTGCTTGTGTCGTGATAAAGGGATCTGATAATTTGACTATACGGAATTGGGTTTTGGATCTTCTGGATGGTGATGAGGTAAGTAAAGATTGTATACATTGCCACAAGCTTATATGAATAAAGTTGTCCAAATATTATCTTACCAACGCATTGGACCTATAAGAATAGAGCATCATCATGGTCTTGCATTACCATGTCTAGTTGTTTTCTGATATTAGATGTTCAATTGCTATGAAAGTGTTCTATAACGAGTGATAGGGATTCGGTGCTTTCAGAAATCGCGAATTAATTATTAGGGTTTTTTAGGGCGTCGCACCTCCAAACAAATTTGGTCATAACACTGACGGTTTCACAATTGGCAGCGAAACTAACAATCTTTTAATTGAAGATACCACAGTTTACAATCAGGACGATTGTGTATCAATAACAAATGGTAAGGTCCAATATTTATATTGGAAATAAGCTCTATACACAAAAACTTGTTTTAAGGTGAAAATATTACCATAAGAAATATCTTTTGTCATGGAAGTCACGGGCTATCCATAAACGGCGAAGGGAAAATCGTTAAAAATGTTTTGATTACGGATTCAGTAATAACCAATGCCCAGAATGGTATTCACGTTAAAACTCATCTTGGAAGTCCTCCAGGATTGATCCAGAATGTTACTTACAAGGATATTAAAATATTGGGTAACAATTTTCACATATTTATTATTAGGGCAAAATAACGTCGAGTTTTTTTGGACAATGGTTTTGATGTGAGTAAATTAATATATATTTGGGAAGAATCTTTAATTTTAATACTGCTTTTTTATCTATTCAAGTAGGGATACTCGAACACAGATAATGATAGCTAGGTACCTATACTTTTTGTTTTTCTATTTTCATGATTTGTATGCGATTACAAAAAACAAATAAGAAAAATAAACGATTCAAAAAATACTTCTTATATCGAGCTTTTGCTGTTAGTTATTTCCATATGAGAAATACCTTAGCTCATAAGCTCATTAAATATTACTGTTTCCAAAATTAACTCTATTTATACCGAAACATCCATAAAAATTGAAAGTTTGTCCAATGAAGCTCTTGATCTCTTTTCCTTAACTCACATTGGTTAATTTTCAGATAGTAAAAGCTATGGAGTAAGAATTCACCAAAATTACAAAAACTTATCACCAGGACACTCTATGGATGACCCTCCAGAAAACAGCGTGAAAATTTATGACCTAAATTTTATAAATATTTTTGGAAATGTTCAAAATGGCGCGATTCCTGTTTATATTCTTTGTGCTGATGAGGGATGTTTCGATTGGACGTGGGAAGGAGTTCGATTGTATGGAGCCAGAAGCAACAACTGCACAGGTTATACTCCCGAAGGATTTTCTTGTTAAAATCATATTCCTCATTATTTATTTCTTTTAACATAAATGTGGTTTTATTTTACTACCTATAAATATAAGTTGATTTTAATTCTGATTGGCGATTATATTCAATAAATCTATATTTTATTTATAATATTTTCAATTACTATTAATCGTTTTAAGTATAACAGGGTGGTAAAGCACAGCTTGCAGTGGCGCTTCGATCTAAAATGGCAACATCTTCCTCGCCCTTGTCTAGTGCCTGCTGATGTCTGTGTCGATTCAGCTCGATATTGGCTTCCTGTATTGCTTCCCATAATTTCGCTTCCGACATTATTTGCCGGGAAAGATCTTCTACGGCAGGCTCCGCACTCAGTTCTAATAAGCTGTTAATTGAGTTTTCGACTTCTTCGCCGTCAGATGTCAACGCTGGGAGATTTGAACGCTTACGACCACACCCTGTAGAGACAGAGAGATATTTGATTTATGCTTATTATTATTGTTCAACCCTTAACTTACCAGTAAAAGCATTGCAAAATGGTCTCTTTTTCGGATCCATTATTATTTTTTCTCTGGCACTCAAATATGGAGTCATCTGGAATAAAAAATAATTCAAAAGAGACAAAAACAAGGGTTGGGAACCAGCCTAAAATAGGCAGTCACGCAAAAAATTGTGGCCTTATATATAGGTAGGCTTTCTTTTTGCTCCTGGTCCTGAACCGGGTAGAGTACCGAGTATAGGTACTACGTTAGGACGTACTTCAATACTAGTACGAACATATTTCAAGAATATGTGTATCAAAGATAAATAATGTGTATAAAGATGAATATTTTTTGTCAGATTTACTCAGCTGGTATACTCATACATCGAATAGGCATAGACAAGAACAATACTTCATTAGCTTGCGAAATATGTTATGAAAGCTTTTCACCAACGCCAAAACTGAATCAGTTTTGCGAACAAGCCAGATTAGAAGCAATTGAATACCTACAGTAACAAGACAAGTAATTCATCCCTTTTGTAAAATCTATAAAATGTTACTGTATGTATAATGATCACGTGATTTGATGATACTTAACTACAGAATTTTTGTATGAGGAGCTTCCTCGTAGTTCCTTTTTCCTTTAGAATATTGAAAAAGTATCCTGAACGGACGGTGCGTCACATACATGAATTAGAATAGTATATTGTTGTATAAGGAGTAGAAGCTTTACTTTTTTGTGATGAAGCGGTAGGTTTGCGAGCCGAACGTAGTGAGGCATGCATTACTGCTGAAGCACAAAAAAGTGGTTCCTACTCCGTATGCAACACGCTATTTTTTCTCCAAACGAATGGGGTAAGCTCGGGGGTACCTGAATGGTTAAATGGTTTAGCGGCAGTAAAATTACAAGCGGCACTAAAAGTACTTTTACTGCAGCCGCTGCGATTGCCTAGCAGCACAGAAATTAAATTTCTACTACCTCGACAGGTGTTAACCCGCTGAATTTGCCTAGCAGCATAGAAATTAAATTTCTAACATCTTGACAGGTGTTAACGTGCCTACAGAAAAAGCAATGACATCAGTTGTTTAGCAGCTATTCTATTTCTATATATTTATCCAAGTGTATTATCCTGGACTCCAAGGTCCTGATAGAGTTTGTGGTGATCCTGCATGTCGGATATTTGAGTGGGAGGATTTTTGGCTTCCTCAGATTTGGTTTTTGGTTGAGGTTGTCTTGTGTTGAACAAATTGATTTTCCGATCAGTGTATACAGGATATATCAAATATGACTAATATGAGTACAGATATTTTAAAATGGGATAATATGGCCCATTTCAAACTAAAACTGTCCTACAACCATGGGTCAATTGTTAGTATTTTCGGAATTATCGCAGAATTTTATTTAGAAAAATGTTAGCAACGTGACAACATCGTAAAGGTATTAGGTATTATCTCTGCCAGGATATAAATGTAAATAAAACTGGTGAATTTATAGGTTTTTTTGTTGCAAGGAGTTCATTTGGGTACATGTAAATTCGCCCCAATGACCATAAGCTTCAAAATGTCCATTTTGGCCGCTCAGGTATAACAGGTAATTTCGCCCCAAACACCCTTACTTTATGATGGTCACTTAGAGAAAGGATGATTAGGAATAATAAATAAATAAACAATTACATTATTAGGTATGTCTTTTCTTTAATCTGGGGGTGGAATGTCCTAAACTGGTTTATTGAAGAATTGCAAAATACGCAGACTATCTTACAGACACATATATTTCTGAAGATTCCATGTTTCCGCCACAACTTTGGGCTGAAAATTCTGCAACACTTACAAAAACGAGGCCTTTCACCGCAATTTTAATAGTTCTATGTATAGTTCACATCCAAATTTATATATTTTTATTGAAAATTTAAAAGAGTTTCAAATAGAAACATAGTATTATGTAAAAATACAAAATACACATCAAACAGTAAAAATTCATAATGTAAAAGTTAAAAACCGGCAAAAATGTATTAAAGAGATAATTAAACAATACAGTCTTGGCGAAATCACTAGACTCCATCTAATAAAATGCATTTCTTTTCATTGTGCACCTCAAAAGTAAGAAAATTAGATTTTTAACTCAGTTTTAGAAACTGGTAAACTGTAACTTAGCGTAGATATTTATTAAATTGCACAGTGCACACCTGTAATGAGAACATGGTTTTATCAATTATTGCCTTCCCTAATACGTCAGGTAGCGTGGGGCAAAATTACTGGAATTTATTTTGGTTTACTTTTGAACTAGGGCGAAAATACCTATCTTTCTCGTCTTTTAATTATCATGGGACGAAAATACCAACACCCGTTCATTTATTTCCATTTGTTTACGTTTTGATTTGTCGGCTCTAAATAGGTAATGTAAATAATAACTTGCATTTTTATCATTGTTTTCCATAGCTACTGGTAAAGTAGCCTTTAATCTACTAAAAATAGTAGATAAAGTAGTACTTTAACCCCAAGGGTAGATTAAATGATACTTGAACAGCAAGGATAGATAATAGTATATTATATAATAAGTGTGGTAACTAGTTTATTACCGCACGCGAGAGAAATTTGCAAACCGAGCCGGTGAGGCGAGGTTTGCAATCTCTAAGGGCGGTAATAACCTAATTACCATACGTATTATATACAGTATTTTATCTACAAGCGTGCAGTAACAAAATATCCGAAAGAAATTTAAAAAATTATGAAAAAAAAAATGCGTTTGTCACCTTTGACAGCGGACAAGTAGAATTTAGATGATAGGTAGGTAATTTATCTCTGGTAGATAATCACAGGTACGTACCTATGTAGGTAGAGCGTGCGGTAATAATATTACCGCACACTTACCGCACGCAAAATCGTGTAATATACCTTAGTTACTGCACGCTTGTAGATAAAGACGTTTATTTTGTAAAAAATATATAAGTACATATTTTGTTTTTTATTTATTTGTCAAAGTTTGTCAAACGAATTTCTACTTATGCGAAAGTGTTCGACTCAAAAAATTTCTAAATATTTTTGATACTACGGGCGTCCATAATAAGCTTATGGAAAAAACTTTGTTTTACACACGACGATAAAATGCCATTATATCGTCTCCCGGAATTAATTCACTCGCGATTCCGCTCATGAATTAACTTTTCCGGTCAACGAAACTACCATTTTATCGTCTTGTATAAAAAATAACTATTATTAAAAATGTGCTGTTTTATTAAGTTGTGAATTGCACTCAATGACATGTATGCACTAAACATTCAAGAGAAAAATTAAATAATATTTACTCAGCTACTTGCCAAATTCTCATTATAAAAATATTAATTTTTGTTAAAAGGTTTTCAAAACACTCAAATCAACACGCAGATTTTGCACACTCACACTTCCCGTATCAAGCGTGTGTGTTGTGCTATGTTGCCAGATGTTTAGATACCGATTTACAAGTAAAATTTTCATGTTGTTTTTCCAATTTTTTATTATTGTTGTTGATTGAAAATGCATAATTACTTGATAATTGAATGAACTAAATTTGTTAACATCTCATAATAATATAATATAATATAATGATTAAAATTTTCTTTATCTTTCAAATATTCGTCAAAAAATGTCAAAACTTCAAAGGCCTTTTTCTTAAAAATCGTTGAGTTTGGATCCGATATAGTATAAAACTTTTTTTGTTCAAAATGGGCCAAATTTTCGCCTGTTAAAATTTTTGTAGTCAAACCTGATACACCCTGTAGATGGCGTCGATGATGGCGCTAGTTATATTATATAGTTTTCATATGACGTGTTGTCAAGAATTTTACAGGCCACAGGCCATTTTCTAGGTTATATAAGGACTGATGTTATTATTCTTTTTATAATTCAAAAAAGAATTATTGTCACGTTGTTTTATAAAATTTGAACAATAAACCAACAAAAGTGTTTAAAGAAAGTTGCTATTTATTTTCCCATAATTCTTTTCAGGTTATGGGCCCAGTTAACACAGTCAGTGAAAGCGGAAAACCGTGAAAAAGTTGGAAAACGACAAAAAGATTGTATGTAAGAGTATGTACAGGGTGTCCCATTTTCGCAGTCTTTACGGGATATCTCGGTTGTTGTTGAAAATAGAGATTCTCGGTTTTTGCGAACGTTGACTACTTTTTTGTGAAACTCACGATACCGCAGACAAAATTTCCATAGGTCGCTTCGTTTTTGAGATACCTACCTACTACAGTGCGAAATTGAAAATAATGCATTTTGAGACCCCCCCTGCATCTCAGCTATTTTCTCAATTTATCGAAAAAGTGAGAACTGATTCTTATAGCGTTTTCCATTTGTCGTCTCAGTGCAGGACTCAGTGCGCAGAAGGATTTTTCTAGTGCAGTCAAAAACGCACACCCAGTGCAGTTTAAATGGAAAACACACGCAGGCTCGGATTCCCCAAACTTTTTTTGAGGTTATGTAAAATCATATGTTGATTGGTTGTTTTTGTTTAGCAATTGCCGGTTTCTGCTTCTGCGTGCTTCTCTGCTTTTTCTGAATGTTTTTTTATATTTATAAGTTTAGTCAAGTCAAGTCTCTAGTTTAGTCTGGGATATCCTTCTGCTGTGGTTTAGTACAATCCATTTTTTAAATAGTTTCTAATTTTAATCTAAACTGCTGGACATGACAATTGCTTTCGATCAAAAGGAAAATGTCGCCTAACTTTTAAGCTCGATATTTTTGGAATCAAAACTATTTCCACATCGAAACGGAATTTAAATCCTGATATTCGACGCCTTTTGGTTTTCGCGTGACCTTGTCATCATCTGGGCTACCCAAATCAATTTGCTCGGCCTCCCACTGTTCTTGAGTTTCATTCAAGGCAGGACGGAGGGGTGCTCGAGAGGAAAGTGGCAGTGGGTACCGACCCTCCGTTGACACGAAAATCCAAGATCCCTCCAAAACGTGTTTCTGATTTTTATCAGGATTTGGGAAATTTGGCGAAAACCACCCTGTTTTTATATTTGATTAGAAGATTCAGTGCTCCGTGAGCTGAGTTTTATGGTTTTTAGTGAGTTTGTCAAGAGTTGTTGGGCATAGATTCATGTAAGTTGCACGTGTTCCATGTTGA